AATCGCAGTTCTGGGAGTGACGCAGGTGATCTTGAAAAAAGCTGCAACCAGTAGCGTAAGAAAGGATTGCAGTCATGTTTCGTGTCTCTCAGTCACTTTATCTCCTGAAGGCATAGTGGCAACTCTGTGGCGCCATATGCGGGGTATTCTATTTCCGTCTGTCAGCGACGCCAGTCTCTGAGTGGGCGGCGACTGACCCATACGTGAGCGACGTCATCTGGTGGGCGTTCTTGACTGAACCTGCAATCTAAGTTAAGAGTGGCGTCTCCTTCTTGGATGGTGAGTGAGTAAGAGTGACACCATCTGCGAGGGTGCCGGAATGACAACATCGTCAAGGATGACCATGACTAACCATGACTCCAACTGGCAATGCACATCGGCATGATGGTGTGTATGGTGCTCTTCTTGATCCACAGACGGCGGCAGTCGGGCGGTGGACATTGAGATGACGGCATACATGGTACTCTCCCTGGTCAAGCTCTCGGGTCAAGAGAACATGGAGCAGGCGGCGCGGGCCGTCAAGTGGATCAACAGGCAGCGCAACAGTCTGGGCGGCTTCATCTCCACACAGGTAAACCGTGGCTTCGTTCGGCTGTGAGTGATCGCGGTGGAGGCCGATGTGGTTGAGAGGTTTTGGCAAAAGCTTACAGGCGGCGGAAAGCTTCATGTAGGTATGCGATCGTGTAAGTGCTGATACTACCTGACCAGATGAGCATGGCTGCATCGGGGGCCATCCCAGAGTCGAACAGTACATTCGCGGGCTGCTAATGATCCTTTTCCTGTTCGAAATTGGATGAGAAAATGCCTTGAAACTTGCTAGCTAGAAAAAATGACCGCTTGTTACAGCCGAATGAATTGAGAACACGGCGCAAAGTATTGTCAACGGTTGAAACCAGCCTGAGAAGAAAGCAATATGCTAATGATTTGACGGCGGGCCATTTCTTGCCCGTAGGATACCATCGTGGCGCTGCAGGCACTGACAGAGTTTGCCAAACGCACTTTCTCCTCGGAGTTGTCCTCTCGCGTGATAGTTAGTGCTGGCGGACGCCCCTCCACACTCGTGGTGGACCCGTCCAACCGTCTGCTTCTGCAACAAGAAAAAGTTGCTGACTTTCAGGTGAGTTGGTGGAGGAACTGTAAGGTACTTGGCGATTACAGCCGCTGTGAAAAATACGCCCTAAATCGTGCTCTACCCGCTTTCCTCGGTGTGTGTTTTTTCAGTCGAAGTTCTGCTCATGCATGAGAGAGATTTCGACTTCTGCGGGTGATGTGTCATGAGTCGTTGATAAGCCCGAGTCCTGAGTCGACTTATGTAGATGCATGACTGTACCGCTAGCTGTCGCTTGTATCAAATTGCTTTAGAGCGTGTCCATTTCGTTGATGAGCATGACACAGCTGAAGCAGTGCTGAAGCTGTGGGCAGCTGAGGCAGCTAGCTGAAGCTGTCTGCAGCTACGCCATGCGGAAGCGCGCCTTTGCAGTGGTCTTCTCTGTTCATCTACCTACGCTCACGCCGCACCCCTGGCCATACTGACGCCGCCATCTTGTCCGCAGCTGCCAGCTGAGGTCACCTTCACCGTCAGCCCGGCCGGCTGCGTCATCTACCGCACCAGCCTCCGCTACTCCAGCCGCGCTCGAGTATGTGGCCCTCCGCGTCTCACAGACTATATTGGTCGTGGTGTGGCTGACAAGGCGATCTTGTTCTCACGTTGACTGAGCAGAACATGAGAGTTGGCTTCAACACTAAGCTTAGGAAATTATGCTGGCGTGATGCTCTGAATGGAGATTATGTAGTTCCCAACAATAGAGCACTACGGCTCGCAAAATGTCTTGTCAATACTTTGCTGTTTTAGTCATTTAAGTCACATTTCCTACGGGACATTTCCTGAGAAATAAGTGCACGGTTGTCGGTGCTGATCCGTGTTGAAGACCGTCCAGTGGCCGTACTCAGGTGCTGACATGCCTCAACCGCTATTACTGATGCCGAGTCGGTGTTGAAACGCTTGGTATGCTACGCCAAAAAAGACATGATGTAGATCATGCTGTGCGTATATGTTAGCTTTTTACCTAGCCTTCATCCATGATCACGTGACCCACATTGATTCGCTGATTTTGGTAAGACGATGCTAACATCGAAGTCACCGTGTTCAGGTGCCGAAGCCGGCCTTCTCGCTGGCGATGACCTCGGAGGCTCGCCCCAGCCGCTCTCCAGGCACTTCGTATGAGCTGGAGGTATGCTCCGCCTACATCGGGGACTCCGACCAATCGGAGCGCGTCGTGCTGGAGGTGGAAATGCCCTCGGGCTACACTGCCGTCAGCAGCACACTTATGAATCTCCGAAGCAGCGGTGGTAAGTGGGGAGCAGCTTCTAATTGATCGTCTAATTTATCACTGAAGGTGGTGTTGCACATTTCTATGGACCTTTGAACTGGAATAGCCTTCTTGAAGACCTTTCGACGCAGTTCACAGTCCTACCCTTCTTAAGGCCTAAACCCCTCTCGTTTTCGAGCTACGCGCCCGCGAAAATGGGGAGACCGGAGAAAGTATTTCAAAGTCACCTTGGCATTTATGATGCCACAATAACGTCATTCAAATTCTGTCATTACATAGGCCATGCGGCGTTTAAGGACAAGAAAAATGGAAAGGCCGAATCGTTCATGGCATTCGTGAGCATGCTTTCTAGATATAATGGCCGTCAGTTGGCTGCCAATCAATGTTGTGCAAGTCAAGATGACGTAACGAAACAATGACGTAGCGAGGAACGTGTTTGCTTAACGGAGAAATGGTGCTGTCAAGAACAATATTGTCTACTTGAAAACATACTGGTAGTTATAAGTGAGCTTGTTTCTTCACTCATGTTTGCTTCAATATGCTCAAATGTAAATCACTTTCTTTCATGGTGGGTGCACTATTTTAATTTGTCTAATTCGCAAGCGGTTTAGTGTTACCAGGGTTGGCGATTTTCAAAGATGCTTGTTGGCGTGTAGAGTTACGTATACATTGTCAATTTCATACACACATAAATCAATAAATGCGTATTTCTTTAGTTTTAGATGCGATTTTACTTTGCACAAATGATTTCCAGATGCAGGCCTTGAATCCAAACTAAAATGTCCTGCTTAAAACCGGATGCGTCAATATGTCGTAATTCGCCATCAGCGTTGCGCTATCTGTGTCGTTATCACAGTAGCTCGCAATAGATAGACTAATCGCAATAATCCTTTTACCTCCGAGCATCACCTTCGGCACTCATGAAGTTGCGCTCAGCGAAAAGATTCCAGTATTTGTCCAGAGTGAGGCTAAAATGCTGCCTAAATATAAATACTTCTGCTTTAATGGGCTCAGAATTGCGGGCCGTTTTTGTGCTTTTTGGTAACGTGATCACGCTTTGATGACACAGTCAGTTGTTTCATGTTTTTCACGTTGCCATTCATGTTTCTGTAGTATTTTGTCCTACACCTCCGGTGTTTTCTGGTTTTGGCGACAGGGCCAACAGTGAGATCAAACCATTGCAAAACTCCCTCGCCTTAGAAATCAAAGGCCTGATAAAAGCAAATAATCTGTAGACATATCGAGAAGCCACATCTTTTTGCGTGTGTGAAATTCTGCGTATTTCTGTGCACCTGACATGGTATGTTTTGTTTATTTCAATTCCTTTCACAAGCGTATGATACCTCTCTTCTTCGATATGATACCTCTCTATATGATACGATATGATACCTCTCTTCTCTCTTCTTACGTCTCCCCGCACTCTCCGCCCTCAGCGGTACGCAAGTACGACTTCAGCACGGGTAAGGTGACCTTCACGCTGTCCAAGGTCACTGAAGAGAAGATTTGCCTCAAGTTCCGTATCATTCGGGAAAACGAGGTGGATGGCCTGAAGCCGTCGGTGGTGCGAGTCTACGACCTCTTCAGGCCTGAGGACCGCAATATGCTGGTGAGGAATGGGAACGCACCTGGCATGCTCGCAGATCCGCGAACGGAGGGTCCCCGGTTCAGTCCCAGCCACTGGAAGTATTCCAGGGTTTTATGTCCATCAAGAGAGTCGGCGCGATAGAGGCACCGCTCAATGCACCTCAAAACGCTGAATGATATCTTTTCGTGGCGTTTCCAACACGTTTTTGCGGTGACGTCAGCTCTAGCCTCATGAGGACCGAAAGAAATTTGGCGCTGGGTGTGTATGTCTGAATCACGGCGCTTTAGGAAAAGCGTTGCTGGTACCGTGTTTATTGGGTGTCGTATGGCCACGCGTGTCGTATGTCGTACGCCGTACCGCTGGAGTTACGCGATATGACGGTGACAGGTGATGCCGGCGGCCAGTTGTACCACTTTGACCCAGTGCCCAAATTCTTTCGGTCCTCATGAGGCTAGAGCTGACGTCACCGCAAAACGTGTTGGAAACGCCACGAAAAGCGACCTTCTCACGTGCTTTGTGCTCAAAAATGTATGTCAGCCTGTTAATTTTGCCACCAGATGTCCGTAAAACTTCACCGCCGTAAACATATGCTCAGAGCTGCACTCTGTGTATCGGTGTGCAAGTGTGCAAGCAGCCGATATGTTCACCACCGTGTGACATCATGTCAGAGCTCTTACGTCATACCTCCGTTTCAGGAGTATGAACTCTCGCCTGCATCTGCTCTCCCCGCTTGAAACTTATGTCAACGACCTGTGTGTGCGTCTTCCCTGACGGACCCTTCTACCTTACGGGCTGCTTCTGACGAACTACCGACTCGGGCAAATAACTCGCACATGCCAAAACAACGTTTGTGCCACCAACGTTAACGATGTGCGATACGCGTAGCTGGATGGAAGTGGTCGAAACTGTTGTGCGTATAAGAAGGCTACAACAACATTCCGCGAGAATATATGTTGTCTGAAAGTCTGCCTATGAACTCACTTGTGTGCCGCTGGTGTAACGCTAAATGCGTCTGCGTTGACTGTTGAACGGCGTATAAATCAGAAGCACGGGCTTCGATTCCCTGTGGTGTCAACCATTCTTGCCCGGGTGAGGGGCAGGTGACGCCATGTAGCGTCAGCAGCCGAGTGTGGCGTAAAGCCCCAATGATATCTGATGACGCGAACTCACCTGTGTCGAATTTTGAAGTTTCTAGGTCGTGGACTTTTGGTTCAATGAGGCTAAGGAGGGTCGAACTCTACATCAGTGTGCGAGGAACCTTAGACCTTTTCATGCAACCACTCTATAATCAACCATCAACACATCTAGATACCTCCTGGAAGCAAAAGACCACTAGTGTTCATGTTAGGTGACTGACTTAGGTGAGGTGACATTATTGGACCCTCAAAAGGCTACGAGGACCAAAGCCCTGGGCCATTTTTTTTATTCATTTCTGAATAAGGAAAACCATCGAGCATTTCGCTAAGCAGGACATCAGTGGCCTCTATTTTTCATGAAGGCGGTGCAATATGTCTGCTTATGTCCCTGTGATCACGAAATTCAAAGTGAGCATTAAAAAGAACCCCGTACTAAAGCACTTGGTGAAAAAGCAGCTAAGTTTTGTATTGGTGATCTGCAGAACACACCCAGGGAAACTCACCCGTTCACAACCCTAAATCAATTTGTCTAAAAAAGCCATCTCAGCGACACTCAGCCTTCGCCTAGCACCCTGAACTCGCATCAGATTGAACGATTCCTTATACTTAGGCCTTTGCTGACTGCAATGGTCTGAGTTTAAATTCAAAAACGCCTTTAGACATTGCTGCGAAATTTTTAGTCCCTGCCAATTCACAATTTTTACGTACTGCGCCAAAATGATAAGCGCAAGACCACAACAATCAAGCGTGAATGACGTCCGAGTGACGTCTGCTTGTTTTTGAGGAAAGCACATAAATATCGACATAGACAGACAAAATGAAAGGATATGTTCTATATCTGTAAACGGGAAATGCGAATCAATTAGTCCTTCGTTCATATATCTTGTCGCAGTGTTGTTTTAATATGGCATCTTGAAATATTGGCATGTGAAATGGCAAAATCATTGTGGTAAGATCTGTCATTGAGATCAAGATGTAACGCAAATGCAGATCTGTTACAATTTTGATGACAGAAAAGACACTTCTCAGCCCTGAGTGCTGCCGCAAAGCGTTGACATGATTATCAATAAGCGATTTTTGCGATCAAAACTTGTAGGTTTGTGTGCTGCTTTTATCTGTTGGTTCGCTATGGTTCGATCGCACGATGGAAAGTGTGTACCTTACCAGTTTAAGATGACGCCTTAAAATGTGTACTTCGTGACCAAAAATGCCACTTAAAATGTGAGTCAAAGAAGAAGAGTCAACGGCGAAAAGAAGTTAAGAAGTTAATGTCACAATGTGTTAGCACGCGCCAGCTGCAGCTGGCTCGCCAGCACTGAGTGTGGCGCTGCCGTCCTCAGACGTCCTCGTCTCCGGCACCCGGTCCTGGCTCGCCGTCCGTCCCGTCGGCCGTTTCGCCGGATTCCCGGGACAGGACCCACCTGGGCACGGGAAAACATGCGCTTCTATGCATTTGAAGCAATAATGCTCTTGCAGCCTTCTTTTGCTCTGTTTATATATGTTTGTCCACGGCTATCCGCTTTCATGAAAAGTCGGGATCATAACGTCACTCTGACCTTACTTGCGCCTAATTTATCTTGGCCCCGTGCTTACTATTTCGGTAAAAGAGATCATTGATCAATTGATCAACTAATAGCTGTCACACCTCTTTAATTGATATTTTGACGCATTTTTGAGCTATCGCTAGAGCTTGACGGGAAGGGAGCAGATTTTCTCCGCTTCCCTCTCTTCGGTTATCGCCGGGCTAACCTTCGCCCTGATTCGCCGTTTTTATAATGCAAGCTGAGGGGGGGGGTCAAGGTGACCGCTCCTCCTGGCGTTTCCAAACTAATGAAGATAGAGCATAGCAAAAACAAGCGGATTTTCTTTAAGAAGATCTCATGACTGGTTCTTGTCTATGTTGTTAGGTCAATCAGCAAACCCACTGACTAGCCAAAGGACAAGTTTTCCATAACATCGCACTTGTTAGGTGTACCATATCATACATACGAGACTGTAGCATGCAACAACACAAAACCTGACAAGGCGTGCGCCTTCTTCAATTCTGAGTACAAAGGTGTATATTTCTATGTACTTTGAACGGGCATTTATGATTTATGGCTCCTTTAATGTAACAGCTGCTAAACGTCTAAATAAATATCTCTGCAGCAACAGCTGTGTCATCAAAGAAATCGCGTATATGAGATTATCGATGCCATGCTGTCACATTAGATGTCAGGTTCGAACCGGTTCACGTTGTAAGCCTTTCTTACAGACCCGCAGGTAAAGTTTTATACATGAGCCAGCGATCTCGAAGATGGGAATACCGTTTGTGATGTTAGCGACAAGGAATGACTGGCACGTTTGCTCTAGTGTATTTTCACTTCCAAAGAGTTGGAAAACAAATCAAGTGTAAGGGCACTTAATGGTGGACTACAATGCACATGTGCTAGGCAGAATATAAAAGAAAGACCGAACATTTAAAGCATCCCAGTGTATTTCCCTCGCATTTTAAATTGGTGGTGCCGCAACAAGCGTTCATACACAGTTGCAAACATCGGTCAAAAGTTACTCAATATTCAGGGTCATCGCTCGCACACAGGGAAACGGCAAAGCGACACAGCAAGGAGTCGGTGTGCTTGATAACATATCTCGCAGCACATCGTGCAGTCATTGGTTAAAAACGATCTTTCGTATGCTGATCTAGAATGCTGGTAGTCAGATTTTTAATACCAAAATGTTCCGGCTTAAGCTGCATGTCTGCGATCGAATCACAGAGCGTCGGCGTCCTCTTGACATGACATGTCATGTCACGTGTCTTCCAGTCATGATCCGTGAGGGGCACACACCGGTCTTCAACATAAGTATCAAGCGGCGGGAGAAGACACGGGCGAGAGCTCGTACTCCTGAAACAGAGACGTGACGTCATAAGCATGACGTGACGTCACACAACTGTAAACACATCACCCGCTCACTCACCAAAACAGTCATGCACAGGCCGCAGCTATAAGTATCCGTGTACAGGGGTTGAGTTTTACAGATGTCGAGTAACATTATTCACAAGCTGCAGGAGCTTCGCAGTCACTGGCGGACCATCAAAGGGCGCGTGACGTCACGTGTCTCGTCCCTTTTTAAGTACATTTTCGAGCACCGAACAGAAAACAGTTATTTGTTTTCGATGTTATTAACAGATTTTGAGGTGACACCGGGTCTACATAGCAGACGACAAATCACTTTGGGCACTGGGTCAACGTGGAAGCAAGCCCCACTGGTCCTCGGTGTGTGTTTTCACCGTCATATCGTGTTCTTCCGGCCAGGAAATACGCCACGTGCTGTCCACCGCACACACAGTACCAGCGTCGCTGCTCGCTGTTTTGGGACTCACTGGATGCTCAGCTCCGCGGCGACGTCTCTCCTGACGGAACGGGAGCAATGGACAGCTTCCTAGCGCTGGGATCGAACCCAAACCTCGTGATTCACGGCTTGGCTGGCATACACCCCTCACCAGAATATTGCGATCCTCAGGCCTGAAGAGGTCGTAGACTCGCACCACCGACGGCTTCAGGCCATCCACCTCGTTCTCTCGAATGATGCGGAACTTGAGGCAGACCTTCTTCTCGGTGACCTTGGACAGCGTGAAGGTCACCTTGCCCTTGCTGAAGTCGTATTTGCGTACCGCTGTAGACGGAGAGAGTGGGGAATGGTAAGAATCGTCATCATTATCATCGTCAGACATTTGTGAAGCGGGTAAGGACCAGACAAAACATAGCATGGTAATTTTACAGACACTTGCAGAAGTGCATATACACAGGGAGGTGCAACATCTCCTCCAGGTGCCTATGACACCTGCTTTGCCTTGGCCTCGGGGTTTTTATGACAAAAGAGTTCTGCAACGGTTTGTGTTGGTGCTATTGCAGAAGAAATTACCGTAGATGCAGTGCGAACCACGTAGTCAGAAGTGACAAAAACAAAATTGCAAAATGCGTGGCAGACAGGTGCAGCGCCCTCTCTCGACGCATATGTCGCAGCCGTTTTCACTACTTGTTCGCTTGCTGAGTCGGAAAGGCTTTGCAGTCTTTGATTTTATTGTTGGTGACCTTACTCTGTTCGCAGACACTTGCAGGAATCCTTCAACTATCGCTCTCCCCTCTCCCCTCCTAAATGTCGCTCGATATTGCTTTCTCCCTCTCCCCTCCAACTATCACTCGCTACCCCCACTGCTTAGAGCCTTTGTCTCGGACTCGAAACGTTCGTTGTTTTGAAGAACAGTCCTCGCCGTTTCGGAGGCTACTCTCCACTTACCGTCGCTGGTTCGGAGGCTACTCTCCACTTACCGCCGCTGTTTCGTAGGCTGCTCCCCACTTACCGTCGCTGGTTCGGAGGCTACTCTCCACTTACCTCCGCTGTTTCGTAGGCTGCTCCCCACTTACCGTCGCTGGTTCGGAGGCTATTCTCCACTTACCGCCGCTGTTTCGTAGACTGCTCCCCACTTACCGTCACTGGTTCGGAGGCTACTCTCCACTTACCGCCGCTGTTTCGGAGACTTCTCAGTGTGCTGCTGACGGCGATATAGCCCGAGGGCATTTCCACCTCCAGCACGACGCGCTCTGATTCGCCAGAGTCCCCGATGTAGGCGGAGCATACCTCCAGCTCATACGAACTGCCTGGAGAGCGGCTGGGACGAGCCTCCGAGGTCACCGCCAGCGAGAAGGCTGGCTTCGGCACCTGGGCACGGTGGCTTTGGGCTTAGCATCGCCTCACCAAAGCCGGGTGAAGCAATCCACGTCACCTGTTCATGAATGAGAACTTGCCCATAATTAGTAGTATGCATGGTTGCGCGACCGTTCGCTTTTCAACGCAGCCTAAAAGTCGGTAATAATTGTATAAGCATTTGAGCACCTGACCATAGCCACATGTAGTTTTTCAACGCAGACCAGTGCTGCGCACCGTACACGTACAGCCTGAGAAACCACCCGCAACAAACACCAGATCAAGTTGTCTGGGATAGAAAATGAAATGTACTGCGAACACATCTTGCCAGCAAATGTGCTCTAAGGTACAAACGCCATTTGGAGCAGAGCGCCAACACAATTTCTTAAGCTTAGTGTTGAAGCCGACCCCCGTTTTCCGTTGGCAATCGTGAGAACGGAACCGTCCCATCAGACATGGCACGGCAGGTATAGCTGACTGGTCATGGTTCATAACCATGCTACATACTCGGGAACGGCTGGAGTAGCGGAAGCTGGTGCGGTAGATGACGCAGCCGGATGGGCTGACGGTGAAGGTGACCTCAGCTGGCAGCTGCGGGCAAGATGACGGCCTTAGGCAGAGGTGGGAGTGGAAGCGGAAGAAGCATGGGCGTGGCCGGATGAACACAGCGAAGTTCCTGGCCCCTGGAACTTCTGATGGCCTGTGCAGTCATCAGAAGTGCATCTGTTGACTGCAGAGGCCAGCTCCTACATGGGGAACGTCGTCTGGGATAGAAAATAGCTTCAGCTTTAGCATCCTCATCAACGAAATGACCACATGTTTAAACAAAATCAATGAAGGGTACTATTAGCAGCAAGGTGATCGTCTGCTTGAGTCAGGCGCAAGAGTTTGGACTCAAAGAACCACACTGAGGAAAGAGTTTAATATATTTTGAGCTCCATTTTTCATCTGGTAAGCTACATTCGCAGTTATCGTTCAAGTTAAGCGAACACCCGCCGACTGAAATCGGCTAGCACCACACGCTTACCGCAGCCACGTACCTCAAAATCTGCCACCTTTTCTTGTTGCAGTAGCAGACGGTTGGACGAGTCCACCACGAGTGTGGAGGGGGGTCCGGCAGCACTCACTGTAACGCTAGTGGACAACTCCGAAGAAAAAGTGCGTTTGGCAAACTCTGCCAGCGCCTGCAGCGCCACAATCGTGTCCTATAAACCAGAAAAGACACGTCGTCAAAATCATAACGATGCTGCGGTCTTTTGCTGTTGGTTGAAACGTTCTAAATCATCTGCGTTGTAACGACAACAGCTGGTCCTGTTCTCAAATTCAGCACCTTCAAAGTGTTCCTCAGTCGATGTTGGAGAGGGGAGGGACCATGGCTAGACGTCACCAGCCTGCCAATCTACTGTTGTGTTCTGTGGTGACACATACTTATTACAGCGATGCTCAGCTGGTCAGGTGTCACCAGCCCCTGCCTTTTTATGGTCATATGCTTATATCAACGAACCACTGGTAAAATTTCCGCCAGACCTATTAATCTGTTAGACCACCTCCACAAGTACTCACAACCGCAGGAATCCACGGTCTACCTGTGTGGAGATGCAGCCGCCCAGACTGTTGCGCTGCCTGTTGATCCACTTGACGGCCCGCGCCGCCTGCTCCAAGTTCTCCTGACCCGAGAGGTGGACCAGGGAGAGCACCATGTAAGCCGTCATCTCAATGTCCACGGCCCGACTGCCGCCGTCTGTGGACCAGGGAGAGCACCATACGTGCCATCAACCCAATGTGTATTGCCGGATGGAATCAAAGCCGGTCATGGTCAATTCCCAACAAACTCGAAGATGGTGTCACTCACAAAATGAGGCTGTCATTCTTCCCGCCGTCTAATGAATGACGTTTCCGCCGCCTCCTCCAATGCTCGAATGACAATACACACAGTTCATGCTGTCGTCACCCACCATCACAAAAATTAGACGCTACTCTAGGGTACAATGGCAGGTTCAGATGGAGTAACTAATCGGGAATGCCTGACGTCGTTGACCAAATTATGCAGGATGACGTCATTGGTCAGGGACGCCCACCAGATGATTTGAGTAGTCCTGGACGCCTACCAGATGTCACCACTCACACATGGTTCAGTTGCTGCCTGCAGAGAATGGCGTCGCGTATGCACCGAAATATAATTGGCCTTTCATCTGACATCAGACGCCGCATTCCTCCAACGTGGTACTACACACAAACTGAATTGCCGCTATCCTCATGGAGAATGACGTCATTGACAGACGAAGATGTAGCCGCAATTCCGTATGACGTCACTGGTTTAACCTTTTCAAGATGACCCGCATCACTCACACAATTGTTATTGCTCTTAATACATCGCACCATTTCGATGAGAGACGCATCGTATCTAATTTAAAGTACCATTTCAGTAAGACGGACGCAGTTGCGGTGACCTTTCTGTCGGAAGGTGTCACTCACAGATGGAGCGGCGATCGCCCTCCCAGAAGAGGGCGTCCGATCCCTCCGTCTTGGCCTTCTGCATCAGAGCGGAGACCAGCTGTTGGCCGCGCTGTTCCCGGCCCAGTACCACGTGCGTATAGGCTAACAGCACCTGCGCGATATGGAACAGCTGCAGCTCCTCGTATCGAACAGGGCGGCGTTTGGAGCACGAGCAGCGGCCTGTTCGAAGACCTGGAGCTCAGGTAATGGGGACGGACGCCTAACGCAACCTTCGGCCGTTTTTAACATTGCCACTAGGGCGGTGCACGAGAGGAAACAGGGTCGGGAAACGAAACATGAAAGTCACCTCCAGCACTTCAAGAGACAAAGACGCATCCTGCTATCTTCCACATACGATGCAGGTTGGCGAAGTTCACGGCTATAGCCGGTGCCACGTATAGGAAAGAGGCGACGAGTCGCGCGCGGAATATCGTATATCCGCCCAAATATGCAGCTATCTTCTGCTACGAACAACATTGCCGACCGTTTCGCTCAAACTGCTAAAGCATTACAAGAACAAATATACGAACTTTGCGGTAAACGTCCATTGTCAACAGTGTGGGGCCACTAGGCAATCTACATAAAGTAAAGCGACACTGTAGCAGTAATTCTGATGAAACCCTCAGAGCTAATAGGCCATACCTCGGCATACAGTGTTTTGTTGGTCAGACTGATGCCGCGCTCCAGGCAGGTGAAGCCGCTCCTCAGACTCCTGGTGTTTTCTGCCCCGAGGGCGAGCATGACGAACGCGGTCAGGGCGGCCGGGCCGCCCCGCTCCGTGCCGCCCTGGTGAGTGAACACACCGGCGTCACCAGGAGATCATCTCTTGGTCAGGACAGATGTGGATGTGAAGAACATCTGTGACATTTTCGTTTACGCCCTGACCATTTTATAGCACGGATGTACGCCTGTTGACGTAAATGATCCTCACTCCATTATTTGACCCCAGCCTGAGAGCTCTGTGTCCCGATACCCGCAGCACGGGCGTGGAGCCGGGGATTGGTATATCCCATTCGCCATCATGACGACGCATCCCTTGCCTTCAGCTCCTTGTGAATGACGCTGCCGATCGGACGGAAGCAGCCGTCATCCTGCTGCTGCTGTACCAGCCATTGCTCGCTCTGCTTGGTCGACTCCTCGTCTGGCAAATAAGTTATGGTCAGCTAGTGAGGAGAATCGGCCACGGTACCAGCCGTCTCACACTGCGAATGGCTGACTCCTCATCTTGACAGGTCATGGTCAGCTAATGGGATACAGCAGGCATCAAAGTGTTGCTACCGTGCCACCCAGCTGACGCTGGCCACGAGCCTCTTTGTCTTGATAAGAATACCATGGTTACGTGGTGAATGGGGGCAGCTCTGACCATGCCGCTATTGCAGCGGCCATTTGTCTGCGGTCTTGGTCAGCTTCTAGTCTGGGCATGAAGATGAGACGGCAAAGTTATGGTCAACTTTTGGACGGAAGCAACTTTCACTCTGCTGCTGCTACTGCACCAGTTAACTCTTGCTCGTGATGGCTGACTTCTCTTATGGACATGGCAGCAGATAGGGCGCAGGTATGGTCAGCTATTGAAAGCTAACAACTTTTCCCTGCTGCTGCTGCACCAGCTGGCTCTCGCTTGCATTAGTAACTTCGCGCATGGGCGAGACAAACGGAACAGTGGGGTCTGCCCCGTTATCCCCGGTGGTCCCACATAATCCCACTGACGCGTCCGCTCCCGTTAACTGGCTGGCTGTAGCTCCTCAGAGTCGAAGCCAAGGTGATTCTTCCTCGGCGCGGTGAAGGTCATTCTTCGCATGGCGCAGTGAAGAATGACCTTCACCAAGGTCGTTCTTCACTGCGCTATGCGAAGGTCGTTCAACGCGCGCCAACCACCTCTGATCGTAGTGCAGCACTGCACTATCGCTCTGGACTTATGCTGATCATGATGGTGATAATGACAACATGACAGTTACATCGACAATGATGACGTCCTTTCCCACAGTGGATATGTAAAAGCAGGCAACCCTGAGCCAAGAGTACATATTAGAGGCGCCAGGGGTGTGCTGCAATTAATCCAATAACCGAAACACTTGTGTACCGCGACATGTTGCACCCACCAATAACGATGTACTCGGACGCCTCCTTGAAGGACTTGACGACGAAGGCGGTGAGCCACAGCGAGCCTTCCGGGTCATCCCGGCCGAACGAAGAGTACGAGCCGTCCCGATGCCTGTACCGCAGCTGAGTCTGGTACCCTAGGGTACATCATGAGAGAGTCACAGAAAGCATGGGTCACGTGACTGGGGTCTAGAACCATCAGGCTCAGCGCAGATCACAAGTTTCAAGTTTTGTAACTTGATCTGGCACACTCTGATGCAAACAAGAAGGTCTACGGGCCGCACGTGTCAGCTGCCACCGAGGCTTCCTCCTTGCCATCTAATTCACCTCACCAAACCCAGCGATGACCTTGTCCAAATTTCCAGGCACACGTTTTCTATCTACCCAAGGTCTGCCAAGGATGTTCAGCAATCAGAAACCGAAAGGGGTCGTGAAGTTCCGTGGGGGTAGTTATCGTCAGATTCATCGCACGTGCGGAAAGGCAGCTGGAACGGTCTTTGCACACATCTGTTACACACGTACAGTGCTACCTCTCCAGGAAGTAAGACTAGTATCTAGTGTGTCAATGAGCCATCATCATTTTTGCCCTTTCACCCTAACTCTCGCCCTCATCTTCTCGCCCGCGCCCTCAGAGGAAAAAGGATCGATACACCTTATCTAAAGTTTTCTATGGGTTTTCTGAGGGTTTTCTGGCATATCGTGCAATCACGCACAAATTTCCGCCGGCTATAGGACACGCAGTGTAAGCATTTCGACGCGAAAAACGTGTCCCTAGCTAAGTTGTTTTCTGAGCACCGACGTTCTCGATGAACACGGCACAGTAATTTGCTGCCAGCGCGTGTGGAGGCCTCAACCGACGATTCCGCGGACCGCTGGCGGTGAGATGACACCGCTTCGTTAACGGAGTCCTTCATCATTTAGATATGCTCAAAACACGCGCCAATACATACCGCTGCACTCAGAAATGAAGAATGACCACGGCCGTTAGCGTCGCTCTGAGGCACGGTCTCGTGTATATGAGCGTGTAAAGAGCATGTGTGTTTGAGCATGCACACTTGAGCATCTATAAGGATGCATCTGGAAAATATGACCTGCGACTTGGTCTAGTGGCGTTAATTGGTTAACTAGAAACATTAAACGTATTACCCATCGCAGCACCTCGTTAAGAGGCGCTATCTCTTTTAGTTTGGAACGGCACGGCGGGGCTCGCATCGAACCCCTATCCGTTCACGTTATAAAAAAAAAACGGCGACTCATGACGAGGGGTAAACAGTTGTTTCAGCTGTGTGCCACACTGTAGACTGGCTTATCCTCTGGTTCAATCACGAAATTAGTGCTACTGGGTGCTTTATCCTGACACGCTATTCCAGCTGTTTTGTTTATTTTTTCCTTTAAGTGCTGTTTATACGTCCCCGAAACACTTGGACGACATTTGCCACGCATTGGAACGCCAGGAAGCTCAAGTGAGAGATGAAGTGATCAATGTGCAAGTGGAGCACATCTGAGTTATTGACGTCTTTCCTGAGCGACGCGCTGCATTGGCCAAAACGCGTTTCACGTACCAGACGAATACGCTCTTCCATTTAGATATTCAAACACAGATTGCATGCGACTTGATACGCTGCATTGATGGTGCATTGATGGTGTGACTTGACACGCCGCAAGTGCTTTGAAATCCAGAGGTATTCGGCACGCACCCCTCCGTTTTTGATTGTGCACGTTGGCGTGCGCAAGTCGGCGCCAGCTGCTGTTTTCGTGACCTGGATTGGTCCAAACCATTCTGAATTCCACGCCTGTCTGCCCGGTCCGCCTGGTTTTTGTCCCACCTCGTCTCATGCCATGATAATCCAGCCCTGCTCCCCGGGGGTCAGCAGTTCCGTATGCTCCGAGTCTCTGTCTCACCTCGTCTCATGCCGTTGATGGTCAGGTCCCGGTCACCAGGGGTGAGCAGCCCGGTGTGCTCCAGGTACGCCCTCACGTGGATGTACGGCACGAAGACCAACATGTTGGGCTCTCCTCCGCCCGTCGGGATGTCCACCAGTCGGCCCAGGTTCTGGCAGTCATGGCCGTGGGTAACTACACATGGAGAAGTCGGTGAAGCAGCTTCGTTAATTACAATGGCAGCGGAAGAACATCTCAAAAGAGACTTCATCTCAAAGACAAGTTGCAACCAATTTAATGCAATTCGTCCATTAGCCATACTACATTTTTTTAATCTCCACCTTGATAGGGAGAGTGTCGAACCCCTCACCCCCCCCCCCCGCCCATGGCGTTCTGAGGGTATTTAGGCTGTTGACTTGGCAGATCGCGCACGGTGGGCCAGCATTGGTGCATTAATAAAGCCCTACATCATCAGCAAATGTTCAAGTACACAAAGCCGTAGCTGTTCGATTTTCCAGGAAACTTGTCCTTTGGCCCAGCCAAGTTTGGTCAACAAGAGGCGTGGCCTCGAACAACGGGTAGGGTGGAGTTGTAGTAGGCTGGAGTCCCCCATCATTGAGTGTCATACAAGGGCTTATATTTTTCTAAGGGCGAGGATGAAATCAGGAAGGAATATGCATGCATTCGTCACGTTTGCTGTACTCTCAATGGGTGTCTGTATGTGTCCTGGATCAAAACTGGATGAACAGATGTGAGATACATAAGGAACAAACTCACTCCGTACGAAGGTCCGAGCAGATCGCCCACCACGGAGAAATAAGCCCGCTCAGAATCCGGCACCAGGCCTTCAGGAGCCACCATCGGGATCCGCTCCACGTGAGGCTCAACTCCTGACACATCGGGAGCAAGTCAGTGCCCTGCTATAACAGGAGGTACGGTCGCATCATGGCCTCAGGCCTTTTAAGCGACGATCCGCGACAGGCTCGACAGGACAGGCGCTACTATTGATGGCGATCGTTGCGCAAGTAAAGCATGCGATACTATTACAAACGAAAACACAACACACATTGACAGAGTTCTGGTGCTCAACGTCACGCGGTGAAAGATCGTGGTGATATAACCTCGAGGACGTTAAAACCCGCACTGGAGCTGTTCGAAAAGTGGAGTTTGTTATGGAACAACAGCTGCTTGAGGTAATAAACGACGAGCTGCATAGGGATTTAATTATATCGAAACGAAATAAAAATTTCGCAATACTGCTTAAGATCCAACTGAGACCCGTCCTGGTTGCTTAGCTCTCTCAAGGCAAACTTTACTTGCGTACGCATAAAACAAAGCTATCGTATCTCCATCACTACCTAGAGCTGCAATGCTTCCTCGCATGATTTCCGCGCTTATTGTTCCAACCTTCCCAGTCACACACCGCAACAAGCCATCATACCTCACTCAACACCATGTAGCAAAGCACCTCAAACACCGTCATGTTTACTTACACTGCACTCCACCAAAGACACTATAGCACACCATCACGCCACCGTTTAGCTAACGCACGCACGCACGCACGCACCGGGTGAGTTCGCTGGACTAAACCAGGACCAGCGTACAGATGACTCTGTCACAAGAGTCGTCACTCACCTTCGTCCAGGCACACGAACCGTGACGTCGTCTCCTCCTGCGGGAATCCCTCGGGCTTGACCACTAGCGGACGGATGACAGTGTCACTGTCGGTCACAGCAGGAGGGTCACGGTGTTTGTGCTGCCAATAACATTCCAAACGCAGGTGCGTGGGAAATTCGCAGCACGGACGATGTCGGGGAAAGATTCTTATTGAGCCGATACTTGTATGAAACCTTCTCCCGCGCATGCTAAGCTAGTAAAAACAGCGAGGAGCATGTGCGTCTACAAGCTTCTTCCCACCACCCCTTCTCCCTTCCTACACACATTAGTAAACAATTGCTTTCAAATATAGTGCAACTGGTGCAGTCCCAGGGAGCCCTCGCGGCGATTCGGACGACAACAGATCTACCTCTTTGATGTCAAAATGACGTCACACCCGATAGATCCTGCACCCATGGGTCTTTGAAGTGAACTGGACGACAATATTAGACGTGACGTCATGCAGAATCCTTTTTCGTTACGTAATTGAAGCGAGACAGACGTGACGCAACGGATTCATCTATATGCTTGCCATATTGTGTGACCATCATCGGCGACGTGTGACGTGTGACGTGTGACGTGTGACCAAATGTGTTAAATGCGTCAAAACTAACACAATTTGCAGTTTCCATGCCTAGACGTACACGGTTGATCTAAATTGTTGCGGTAGAGTACTCAATAACTTTTGTGTTACTTCGACCCATGCGTAGGTCTCATAGCCCCAGTTGTAGATCGGTGCTGTGCAAACTGTGCGAAGTATAAAATTGACTGCATTAGATACATAATTCATCGCAGAAAATCTTATGTCTGTGGATAGCGCCCCAAAACCGACCAGAATCAACGAACGTGCGTGTAAGACTTGAGACGTAAGGCGCCGGGCGCAATCCAGAAGCAAGACATGAGCGAATCCAGATTCTCGGGTCATCGACCGTAATCCTTCTCTCATTCCAGCCAATCAGATGTTTAGGTCTTCAGCTGGCATCGGTATATTGAGCAGAGTGGCTTGGCAACATTAGATAAGCTATTGCTTTTTACCTTCCGCTGGTGCCAGTTATGCCCTGATTTATTTCTATAGGAGTAACCACGCTACAGATGCCGTGTATTAAAATCAGTACTTTTCCGGCAATCAACCACGCTGCATCATAAATTGAGCCCACCACCAGAGCTAAAAGCTACCGAAAGCCTCCCGCCAGAGCTAAAAACCATCGAAAGCTCACCTGCCGGGACCGACGGCGTTCGGCTGGTCACAGTTGCCGTCTCGGAGTCTGGCCGTGACGGTGATGTTGACCTCGCCCAGAGAGGTGAAGGTCAGCGGGAAGTGGCTGACCTTGGAGCGGCCCGCCGGAACACAGAGGTCAATGCCCGCGAGCGAAACCTCGTCGGCCAGCGAGTAATCCTCCGACGCCGCCAGCTCCAGGTACACCTGCCGGTAGCGGGCACTGTAACGCCCGGCGCAGAGACCTGTGGGGTGACAGCTGGTGTGCTGGCGTGCACTGCAACATCTGCAACTGGTAGCCGGTGTGTACTGCAATGTCTGCAACTGGCACCTTGTGTGCACTGCGACGTCTGCTAACGTGGCAGGGTGACGTCTTAGATAGAGTTGCCTAAAGCCTGGACTTGGAGATGTCTGAGAGACGGGTACCACAAACCGTTCAGCCAAATGTGTTTTCATCGCTTTTGTAGCGATTGAGAGAGCGCGTTGTGTGTATCTGGCAAAGATACAAATTTGTGAGGATGTACTGCACCGGCGTGTGAAAGTGCTGTATTCAAATCCTCGCGACGCAATGTCACACGAGGCGCGCCTTAGCTTGGTTCAAGAGTACTGTATTTTGTGTGGGTATGCACAGCTGGAATTTTAGCGAATGCTTTGCAAAACATCTGGTGAGCCACGTCTAACGGTCAGAGGATATATAACACCAGGTATAACGCTAAGTGTGTTTCTCTACATGTAGGCCGGAATGTTATGTGGGTAGAATTATTATACCCATCTCTGATTGTGAGCAGGTCTCTGCAACCAGCAGCTAATGACAATCAGTTACCATCACAACAGATTAGCGGCTTACCTAACGTGCGAGTATCGCAGTCTATGAAAAATGGCTGAGTATTTGTGACCTGCTTACCGACAGGCTGGAGTCGAGGAAGTTGAACACGGTGGACGACATGTTAAGGACCTCTCCGCGCTTCACGGAGTACGGCAGCGTGACCTCCGTGAAGAACGGCTTGAAAGCTTTGATGGCTGATTTGTTGGAGACGCCGAACCCGTCCTGGTAGCACACGATGATGTCATGGCCAGTTGAAGGCAAATTACGAACAGGCAGGTCATTGGTGCTGAAGTGCTCGAGTTTTGGGAATTTTGTTATTGTGTTAGCTTTGTTTCCATTAAACAGACATAATTAAGATTTATGTCATGGGATGTCTTGGCAATGTGTTATTGTTGTTATCATTCAGACTTCACGAGGCACCGAGCTGCTGAGGCTATATGGTGTCGCCTGCCTCTCATCCTGGCAGGAAGGGCAGGCACCGCGGGGAATCGAACCCTATTTCTCCGGTTTCCCAGGTGCGCAATGGTTGCTGCAGATGCCTTAACCACCACACTACCGGCACCCCTGTCTTGGCGATATGTCTTAAAGACCAGCACTAAATATGTTAAAGACCAGCATTAATCAAGACGTCAGCTATCAGGATGAAAATCAAGTTGCGCACCTGAAATCCTCGTCACCTGTATTTCGTCTAACCGGAATATGTTTAATTACCCCATGCATACGCTACATACCTGCCAAACGGCGGAAACCACCGTGGAGCCTGACAATGGAAATCTCACCTACCACGGGCTTGGAAATCCACGATAACCTAGAGCCACAAGCCTCTCCCGCGCCCAGAGGCGGAACTACCCTCCGGCCTAGGACAGAGAAGTCCTGAAATACCTGGGAGCGAGAGCTTCCGACCTACACAGAGGTGGAAAGGTTGAGAGCTCCCGACCCACACGGGGATGGCAGGTCGAGAGCTTCCGACCTACACAGAGGTGAAAGGTTTGAGGGCTCCCGACCACACGGGGATGGGAGGTCGAGAGCTCCCGACCTATACAGGGGCGGAAGTCCTGGCCGGGGATCACAGACTACTTCTAGCGCCTGGGACCGGCAATCACGGACTTCTTCGGTTCGAAAGCTATCCACCTACCAGAGAGTCGGATCCTCTTCATTTACCTGGGGGTGGGAGCAGATGGCGGAGCCGACCCACGACGTGATGGTGTCTGGCATGTCTTGGGTCAGCACTTTGGTGCCCTCCACGCTGTCGGCACAGAAAGTCTCCCGTGTAAGGGTCGGTAAGGAGAAGGGAAAGTCAACCGACGACAAAGGTAGCGGTCACCGTTTGAAGTGCAAACTAACACCACGCCAAGGAATAATGGTGATGCACTTTAGGAAACAGCGCGCCTTACAAACAAAAAGACGCGCCCAAGGAGGATAAAGAAGGTGCCACTTATGTGGTGTGGCATGGTACCGAGCTAAAAGACTGGATCAGAGCGTGTTTGGAAGAGGAAGAGGGTTTGTTTGCATAGGGTGGGCTAAAGTGCAGTGCAATTCAGAATAGGATTTCGAAGTTGCGGTTCAGCTGAGGAGCTCATTTACCCGTCTGATCTACCGAGCGGTTCGTACCTGCGACTCACAAACCGTGCGCATGTTGCGGGGCATATCACAAACACTGAATCACGGTCGGCATTGGACAAGCGACAACAATGGGATACAGGACAGAGAGCGTGCATATCTGACCACTACAGTGACGCTTATTGAGGAGCAGCCTAGAGGTCCCTCCGTGGCCAGTCCCCCTCCCCTTCAGCTGCGCGCAACGCACTCCTCTGACTTCTGTCTCAACCCGATCGTCTCGATGGAGAAGAGGAAGGCTTCCGGGAAAAAACTCGCGGACCCCTTGTCTCCGATCGGAGCGGATTCGGCTACTGCTACGGCCCACCTTATGCTGGTCATATCTTGGGGGTGCAAACCCAAATGGTGCCGTTCCTTGGCGGTTTGGCAGAGACCGGTCCGGCATCGGAGTCGGGGTGACGACTGAGTGGTGACGCCAAGTATCAACGTAAGACACAGCCAACATCTGCGTAGGTAAGTATGAATCGCAAGTGACAGAATGGTAAATATTCGCACAACAGAGTTTAGAGGACAGCTTCACCACCCCATAGCTCTCTCGGAGGCAACGTGACTCACTACACATGCCTTTAAATGTTATTTGCATGTCTCTTGATGAAAATGACTTACAATGCAACATTGTTGGTAGAAATATCAAAAAGAGCACTGATTTCCTCCTCCGGTATCTGCTGGGGCCGGCACGCGTTTGTAGCAGGGCCTCGTCTCCAGCACCAGGTTGGTCATCACCAGAAAGCCCGTCTCTGGGGAGAGGTAGATAATGGTGTGATAGAAAACTACTTATTGACAACAGCTTCGTTGCAGGAAATGGACATCTGGCTAGCTAAGAATTCCAATAGATTTGATCATACATGGCAGGCAACGTATGTACTGAAACACTCCAGGCACGTGTGTTTTCACGGGCTGTAATAAAAAGTCCCTAAAATAGAAGAGAGAACATCACTGAACACACTTCAGCGTGCACAACGCAGCATTGGAGACGATCTGATTGCTGTCTTCACAGCCGGCTAACGACATTCCCATTACACAATGAGGTGCTGTCCATCGTCGAAGGCGGCGGCAGCCAACAATACAATGGCTCTCCAACTGAACCAACCCGGCTGTGGGACATGCGAGACTGACCTTCCAGATGCACCTTACTCAGACACAAGGTAACAGGGACATCACAAAAGGCTCACAGCCGGAGACAATTCGGGACAGGGCGGACATTCTACTGGCCGGCGTCATGGGTCAAACCTCTCATTCCGCTAAATATTAGCGATGGATTGCTTTACTACTGGAATGGCGCGCGACATTGTCTGCATAGCAAAAAAACACAGATCAGAAAACTTATTGTAATTTTATCGGCGTGTGCTCAGTCACCGAACCCAATTGCCTCTAGCTTGTATGACGGAAAAGATATATTGATGGAATTTGTCTTATTTCAACCAGTAATGTTGTTAACACTTGAGATTGCTTACACACTCTTCGGCTATTTATATGACATTTCCAACATATAAAACCACATTTTTCTCACCGATTTCTCTTTCTCTCTCCCTCTCTCTCTCTCTCTCTCTCTCTCTCTCTCTCTCTCTCTCATCCTCTCTCCTCTCTCTCTCTCTCATCTCTCTCTCTCTCTCTCTCTCTCTCTGTTCTCTCTCCTCTCTCTCCTCTCCTCTCCTCTCGCCTTCTCTCGCTCTCTCTCTCTCTCTCTCTCCTCTCTCTCTGTCTCTCTCCTCTCGTTCTCTCTCTCTCTCTCCCTCTCTCCTCTCTCTCTCTGCTCTCTCTCTGCTCCGTCTCCTCTCTCTCTCTCTCTCTCTCTCTCTCTCTCTCTCTCTCTCTCGCATCTCTCCTCTCTCTCTCTCTCTCTCTCTCTCTCTCTCTCTCTCTCGTCTCTCTCTCTCTCTCTCGCAGATGAGCGGATGCTATCATTGTTGTATCAAGTCGTTGTGATGCATGGTGCTGGCAAGTCAGATCATCCACGCTATTGCAAACAGCTCACGGCGAAGTGTGATTCGCTGCATGCATAGCTACCGCGCTAGTTGATGTGGCAGAGATAGATATGTCTAATTGCATGTTGCATTGCATCTAACATGCATGTCTAATTTTCAACATATTCTATGACAGTTGAACACGTTATCTGCATCCTCTGTCAGATCTGAATGAAACGGGCTGTACATGCCAAATTCGCAAGGAACATTGCAGCTTAAAAGCATATTTTTAAAGCTTGGTTTTGCTAGAGAAGTAATTGATGTAAGTTGCTGTGTTTCGAAAAACAACATTGTAGATGGCTGAAATGTTAATGAAGGTCACGTGATTTTACGTCACCCGGTCACGGTTTTGAAAATTGAGTAAAAACTAACTTGAAAATAACCAAAAATGCAGTGGATCATTTCCAGTTCAGTGTTATGTGGTTACGTGCAACTAAGGTCGAGTTATCTGAGTTATGAACCCCCAAAACCGACCATGCTACTTGACCTAAAATACGCCAGGCTGTACCTAATCAGTCGCTGCTCCAATTTTTCCCAAAAGGCACCGCCGAATTCTGGGTATAAGACAACGCCATGCTGATGCTGTCAGCGAGAGAAAAAGTAAACGGCGTTATTTGGCCCCTTCACTTTTCGCTTTGTCGTGGAATAACCAGCCACTGGACACTCACGTCGAACGTCGTGAGCGTGTCGTACCGGTCGGTCCTGAAGGGAGCCCTGGCGGGTTTCAAATCAAAGAAGTCATCACTGCCTGGCCGTGGGGAGCGCTGCGATGCGTCCGGTCCCTGCTCTTCATTTGAGGCACCACTCCTGGCGGCGGAGACCAAACGCGGTCACACAAGGGTCACACAGGGGTCACACAGGGGTTACAGTGGTCACACAAGGGTTACAGGGGTCACACAGGGGTTACAGGGTCACACAGCTGCACCGGCGGTGTAGTCAAGCGGAAACGAGCAGAATGGTGTAGGGTGGGAAAGGTGCACTTCATCCCGTTGAGGGTGATGTTGATTGGGTCAGATGTGTCTCATTGTTGGCTGGTCTTGCCGTACCTGCCTCGCAACCAGAGATTGAACGGTTACGAAGAGGTTTTCTGCGCATACATGTTACGCCATTTGAGGTAAAGTATTTACTTTGTTAGGATGGTCTTTTAAAACAGATGTCCTTCGAAACGTGCTCAGAATCTTTAAATCCTTACAGGCTCTCAACCAAAAGGACCCACAGTAAATTCGGTTCCTCTAGCTCTCTTAGTTGCTGAGATCTCAGGGGCGGTCAAATTGATCCTATTCCAGCGACGGGTATCCAACCCACCACTCGAGCGCGTGTTAAGAGTAACAATTGAGAGACATGTTGGAGAAGCAATTACTGGGGCTGACATGGCCGCTAAGTTTTTCAGTATCTTCAATGATTTCTCGTTATTTCTCCAAATTATCGTCGGCCGTTTTGAAGAGACGATAATGCGGGAATGGGGACATCGGGGAGACGTGTTACGCACACTACGGAACTGAGA